CAAACTAGATTGTCAATAGGCATGTGGGCCCAGAACGTCTGTCCTTTGAGGGCCTAGAGGCCCAATGACAGGGGCCCATGCCTCAGAATCCAGCATCCTATAGGTGCAAAGGCCTCAAGCCGCTGGCCCTGGGTTCTGCCGGCCCTCCCTCTCCCACCTCAGCACCTCCACCCTCCCCTGAGGGTCCTCACAGAGGCAGGACTCTGGGACACCCCTTGGGGTGTGCTTTCTGGCCAGAAGGAAGCTGACTGGCAGATATCAGTGAGCTGAGAGACCAAGAATCATGGGGGACAAGACAAGAGTTGTGGCACGGCCATCGGCCCTGGCTCATGCCACGAGGTAAAAGGCTGGGACCCTCTGTCCCCTCAAACTTTAGGGACTACCGCGGGAGGCTTTGTGCAGGGAGCCAGGCAGATGTCCAGGGCTGGGGCGTGGGGGAGAGGCAGGCACTGTCCGGAAGGCACAAGGAAAGGGGACAGATGCCCTGTCTGCGTCTTTTGGCCAGGACCGACCTCCTTCTCTACAAGAGGCCTCAACAGGAAGTGGTGACTCTCTCACCCATACCTGGGGCACGGGGCCAATGGCAGGCCCTTGCCGGCCTGGACACTTGGGGCCCTCTGCTGTCTGTTCTCCAGCCAGCCCCGCACACAGCCACACTGCAGCCAGGCTGACCTTGCCTGTCTCCCTGTGCTCTGTGGTGCTCCAGCCTCTCACAGGTCCAAACTGAACCAGGCCAACAAGTCAACCCTCCCACCTCCAGGAGAGACTTTCCCACATACTGGGGCTCCTTCAGCCCCAGGGCTCCCAGGACCTCTCTCAGATCCACCTCACACTCTGCCTCCTTTCTGGACAGGGTGGGCCGGCACCTGTCTTTCAGCTCCCACTAGCCTCTGATCCCTCCCTGTTTCCTGATGCTCTGAGCGTGGAAACCTCAAATGTTACTATGTCCCCAAGCCCACTGTACCCACGCTCGTCCCAGCTTCCTGCGAGGCAGGCCTTGTGGCCCCTCAGGCCCTTGGATGACTGGCATTCTCTCCCCTGCCCGTGCAGATCCTGAGGCTTCTGTTCAGAATTCCTCTGCTTTCCCCAAAGTCACCTAGCAGATGCCTCCCTGTCACCCCCTCCTCAGCAACGCCTTCCGTGGTTGCCTGTACTGATCTGGTCCGTCCCCTAATCACCTGTCCCCCACAGCACTCCTACATGCCCCCACTGTGCAGGTGGGCGAGTCAGACCAGAGGGCAGGGGCCAGTCTGTTTTTATACATTTTCCATCTCCAGCACCCAGTCAGCTGCCTGGCACAGCACATGAAGGAATGGTTGGTTTCGGGGCCAGCAGGTGAGTGAGGGGGAGCTCTCCCTTCGGTTTGTAGCTGCAGCTCTGATCAAGAGCATCCATCGCAGCTGCTCACTTGTCCACTTACCCAGGGTGGCAACAGCCGTCCCTAGATGACCCTTCTCATGTCGTTGCAGACTCCTCTGACCAGCCACACCGTGACAATCAGAGGCTGGTACACAGGTGGCACATGCGTTAGCAGGGGTGGCCCAAGACCAGGCTGTGCTCCAGACAGACAGTGCTTCATTTGCCACTGCCCACCAGCCTTGTGCTGGGCTTGGGATGGCTCCAATTCTTCCAGAGGGGTCTTGTATCCTGGTATTAGCAACTGGGATACTTCCGAAGCACCCATGGGAAGACTCCTAGTCCCAGCATGCTCCCTCCCACCCACCTCTGTGTTTGGACGCTGTGCTGTCAGGACTTTAGCTAGCTTCCTCCTTCAATGCCTGCCTTCCTTCCTCTCTCCCTGCCAAACAGGTGGGTGTGCCCAGTTCAGGGCCTGCCCTGGGTCTCCCCAGGCCTGACCCCCTGCAACAGTAGCAAAGGGGAAGGCAAGTGGGTAGAAGCCCTGTTGGGTGAGAGTGGGGGCCTATGTGTTCCTCCTTCCTGGATGAGGTTGCAGAGCGGAAGCCCCATCCGGTTACCTACCCAGGCGAAGGCCACGCAGGTGTGGTACATGGGCGAGGAGGCCGGCACGGAGGTGCGGTAGCGGCAGAGCATCATCAGGTTGGCCATGCCATTAAGGAAGGAGGCCATGGCAGAAGCTGGCTCTTGGAAGAACAGGAACCGGGAGAAGGGCCACTGAGAAAGGAGCAGATGAAGGGGCCTCAGGGGCCAGCAGTCCCCTTTTCTCTGAGACACGCTGCATTAACAGGCCCCCTCTGAATCTTCAGCTCTCTGGCCTTTGGCTAAAGCCTCAGATTCAGCCCCCCTTTGGGCCAGTGAGCTCTCTTCCAGTTCCATACTCAAGGCCGTACGTGACCTGCCCAGCACTCACACTGCAAGCCCTTATCTCCGGGCAGGTCAGGCAGGCTTGTGCAGGGGCTCAGCATCGCCTGATACTCAGCAAGGAGAAACTGCATAGACTTGCCTGCCCAAAGAGACAGGTCCTCGTGGCCCTTTACCACGGACCATAAGTTTTCTGAAATTCAGCTCCCCAAAATCAAACCAAACTCACTGTCATGGGGTTGGTGCTGACTCCTAGTGACGCGACAGGACAGGGTAGAAATGCCCCTGTGAGGTTCCGACACTGTGTAACACTGTACCGGAGTAGAAAGACCCTTCTCCTTCCCAGGTGTAGCGGAAGTTTCGAACAGCTGACCCTGCAGTTAGCAGCCCAACACGTAACCACCACGCCACCAGAGTCCGGAGACTCAGCTTTTGCTATGACACATTGGGAACAATAACCTTGCAGACGAGTGCATGAAAGGGCACCAGAAAACGGAGCCTCACACCTGCAGGGATGTTGTTATGAATTCTGAACTCTACTGGAGAAGCAACTGGAACCATGCCGTGGTAGCTCACGGGATTTGTCCCTACAGTGAAATGGATGTCACAACCACCCCCAAAGGCCCAGCAGCATGCTGTGAGGAGGTCCCTAAAGCCCCCCAGATCCTATCTCTCAAATCCAGAGACAGGACTCAGGGGTTCCATAGGATAACAGGAGCCCTCGATTTTGAGAAGAAGTACCTGCTCCAAACACACAATTACTACCCTGTGGCCCACGCCCCAGTCTGGATTATTTGGATAGTGTGGTCTCACTGAGGGGCGTCCTCCCTACCTCCCATACCCATACCCATCCTACCACCTCCTGCTCACCTTGCCGTGGAACTGAGGTACTCTGTGGCCCTCCTGAAGGTAGAGGTGGACGGTGAGCCACATACACTCATACTTACAGTCATCTTGGCAGGTCCAGCCTGAAAAAAAACACACCTGGCCTGGTCAATTCCCCAGCCCAGAAAGGCACAGAAAGAGCTCAGATGGGGCCAGGGGGGAAGGGTCGGCAGGCTGGTGGGACCCAGAAGGAATCTCAAAGTTTACCTTCCCACTGGATGGACAAGAGATGGTAGGGCATCTATATAAGGATGTGGGGGGTGGGGAGAGAATGCATGTGACAGTGTTTGGACAATCGGAGGGATCTATAGCAAACAAATAGAGAATGTTCTTGTCTTCTTTTGCCCAAGGGAAGGATCTTGGCTGATCTAGGAATCCCTGGCTTTATGTCTGTCCACCTGAACACCAGATTTATCACACTTCTCACCAGCGAGGAGCCCTTGCTGCCTTCTATGAAGATGAAGCCCAAATTCTTTGGTCTGACTTTTGAGGTCCCAAATGGGCTTTCCACCCTGATCTCCCCACATTCCATTTTATGTATGCTGATCTATGACTAAATTAAGGTGACCAGATTTTAGCATTGGTAAAGCGAGACACCATGGATAAAACTCATATCCTGGCGAAATAGCCACATGGCAGCTGAAAACCCTATACCCTAGCTTGTTGTGCATTCTTTCCAAAAATCGGGACTTTTTAAAAACGCCGCGGGATGCGGCAAAAATTGTTAAAAATCGGGACGTCTGGTCACCTTAGACTAAATCAAGCTGCTGCAAGTGTCCACAGGTGGCCAGGGCTTCCACTCTTTCAAATGCCCTGTCTGGAAGAAGAGGACCAGACTGCAGTGAGACTGGCCAGAGCTGGCCTTCGGCTGGACTAGCTACTAGAGGTGGGACTTCGAGCAGGGACTTTGCCTCCTCTTGAGCTTTCCCGGCTGTAAAATTGGGACAAGAGAAACTACTTCAAATGATTGTTGTGAAGATCAAGTGACCAAGTGTGGTAGCCTTTGCCCAGGAGGTGCTTCAATGTTGGCTCCCTGCCCGCTGTGACCACACTCCAAGAGTAAAGCAGCCGCAGGGCGGGCGGGAAGCGGGGGTAAGACCCTTCCTTCACAGTGGGTCCCTAAGTGACAGAAGCATGTCCTTCCTGTCGGATTCTCCTTAGTGTTCGTCCCATGGTCCTGCCCACCCCCACGACCTCCTGCCTGTGTGTGCGCATGGTTCGTGCCCTGAGGGTCGGGTTTCCGTCACTCCAGGACATGTGCACGAAATGCATGTCTAACCAAGCGAATGGCGGCTTTGAGGAAAGCAGGCCTGGCCGGTCAGGTCACCCTGGGGCTCCTGTCCCTTACCTAATAGGGTCTGAGGTCAACTCGGGCTGGGTGTACACGGGCGGGGTGGGGGCCGCCAGGGGCGGGGCCCAAGGCGGTAGGCGGGGCTCTCTGGGGGTGGGGCTTACCTGCCAGGCTCATGTAGATTGGCTGGCGGGAACGGAAGTGCCTCAGCGCGCCCCCGGAGCAGTTCCGCTCCTCGCAGCGGAGCACGCAGTCCCGGTAGACCGGCTCGCGG